GTAACTTAGCATTTTATGAATAATAGTTTGGTTAATGTGTCAAGGATTTTTATCTATTTTTTAAATGCTTTGTGAATATATTGCTTAGAATATATTAGGGGATTTAATTCTTTACTGCACTGCATTGCATGTGTCATTAAATCTTTTTATGTGATATGTGTGTTTTCTTGCCGGAAAAATAAAGCGCGTCGTACACAGACAGACCTGCCAGGGGAAATGGATGTCACAATTTCTACGTCAGGGAAATTAAAGATGAAATGAATCCCATTATGGTGCACAAGCTTCCATACTATATTGCTCCGCTGACCTATCAGTGCATCTATAAAGTCATACTCAGATCTCTACAGCACCATAATATAGCAAAGCCTGAATAGGGGTGGAAAACATGCTGTTTGTATTTCATTAACATTAGCTTCTCGCGTTTCACTAAAAATCATGTAAAACAATCAGAACAGTTCCTTTGGTGCTGCAGAGAACACTGAAAAACCACTTTAACACTGCCACATTAATCAGCTGCAATTCTAAGCTGCAAAGCCAGAAAGCAAGAAACAGAAAACACACATTTCAAACCCTCGATATCAGCACCAGACGCTCGATATGCTGGGAGAAGAGACAGAGAGACAGCACAACACCTTTAGTTAAATTCTCCACAGGTAAAAATGTTCATTTAGCTATTGGTGAACACCTGAGCACTGCAGTCTTAATATGCTCTATGCGCTCCAAACATTAATCCTGATCTTTCTCTGGGAAAGGAACTGTGCATGGTTTCAAAATAATATAACATCCATCTAATACATCTGTTTGCAGTACTGCAGTAAAAGTGGTATCAAGATTAGAGATGCAATGAGCTAATACTATATGTTCTGGCCAAAATTATATATACTTTATAACTTATATAGATATAATTATATAAATTAACCAAAATTAGTGGATTACATTTTGGGAAAAACAAGTGTAATATAGTCTAAGCTAATGCATAGGAGAGGTGAGTCATTGAAGCTGACGCATCAACACCATCATACGAATTGTATCCTTAAAATTAACGAACTGGAGTCTCCACTTACACTCATGTGCATCCTTTTCCTTTAGTAAGGCGCTGAGTTGCCCACATAGTCCGCTCCTTAAATCAATGCCAGTATCTTAAGGCCCTTTTGTGTTTCGTCCACTGTTACAGCCAACGGAAATAGTTTCGGCCATTTACCTTACTTTACATCATATAAATTTTGTTATGTCTTAGGAGCCTCCAGCCCATCATTAACAGACCAAAACAGGATATGGCACCCACCCCTCTCAGCTATGATAATTGTTCCTCCTTCCTACCTAGTGCAGCGAATTCGGGAACTCGGGTGTTAAAGCTTTGCCCTGATGGCCCTTCCTGTTTCGCAAATACCAGCCTTCTGCCCTCGCCTTAGGTACTCCTCGTCCCACCTAGCTGGTGCTAGCGGGTTTTTCCCTACATTATCTCCCGTGTGAGGTTCTTGTACACTCCTCTGACTACCATATTTTGCTTCCCTTTTATACTTTGAGCACTTCTTTGTAATTAAATTAGAGTTCTCGATACGAAATCCAAGGTGAATGCCGTTTCGGTTGGTACAGCTCTTTTATTTGTGTCACTTTGGTAGCCCACTTTTCCCCCCAGTTTATTGCTTTGTGTGCATGGCCGACCTTCTTCCTCTGGAATCTATCTTTCACACCTTCTCCTCCAATGTTTTCCTCGGTTCCCTCATCTCTCTCCCACTCCACCGCTGGCCCGGCTCTCGAGACACATGACTTGTTGGGTGGGTCTGTTCACTTCTCTATTGTACATGGCAAACACGCGGACTGGGATTTATACTGCCTCCTCACTAGGGGTGCGGCCCAAAAGTAAAGGCGTTGTACTCATATTATGATAAGCGTGTGCCATTTGGGTGGTGAATTAATGCTGCTAGCGCCGTGGTGGGTATCTGTAGATGGTCTTCTTGCACTATTGTAAATAATATGCTGTCGGAAATGGTAGACCTGATTATTCGACCTGATATACCGCCACATTGGCGGACGTGGATAGGTTTCACTTCTCACACACAGGCAAATATTGATTAACGAGTAGAGATCGCTAGTGGCACCATCACATCCTAACTAACTGCTTAATTTCTTCCGCAACCTGATGTTATTTTATGCTCACCCAGCACGCCACCTCGCTCTCCACATTTTCACCTACTACGATGGCATCTATAGGACAAAGCGAGGGCCGGTGGGTAGGGCAGGAAGGCACACTATTATTATCCACTTTCCTCATTCATTTTTGAAGCTGTGTACTCGCACTCGAGGTGTGTATAGCCTCCATTTCCAGCATGCCGTACATGCCATTCACACGACACAAACCACACCGGGCCTACTTCCCACTCTTCATTCTCTTATTCCAGGTGAGCCTGTCCTTCCTGGCTTTCTCTAAAGACACACACAAAAAATAGAGGAGACATGATTAATTAACCTTGCCACATTCGCTGGCAAGCAACGTCGGTTAATGGACTTAGTCGGTTTAAAAAGCCTGCTTCCGTCCCTGAATATCCAGCACTCCGTAAGAGGTGATCTAATGGTCAACTATTTTTTATCAGATGTAACCTTTAAAAACATGAATCCACACTTGATGACCATCTTCATGTTATACTCGCCACTGCAGATAAAGCTATCTGGTAATCTTGCTTCTATGGCCTATTTAGAACGCACACAGGAGACTACAACATCCATGTGAATGTGTAGGTCATCATCCATCGGATTTATACTTTTGATTGTCACAAGGAGAAAATTACAATCTTTAAGTGTTCATATGGTGAGTGTGGGAACTTGTTAAGCTCGAAGGAGACAGAGGACTGACTCGTTAAAACTGTGGTCTTCATTTACTGAACGACATCGTCAATGCAAATTATCTACACTTATACTTCAATAACCATATTTCAGGACATACTTTATTGGGGCACATTACGTACCTGTTCCAATGAATCGATTTTGTTCTGTCTTCACTTCTCATACTGATGGTTGCACACACTCATTGGCCTTTGAGAGCACCACAGACGCGAAAAAGCTCTCCCTATCTAGCCCGACGAGACACCTACCGTTCTTCTTCCTCTCCCTTCATTAGGCGCGTCCGGACCGGCACCTTGCATATCGAGGGTTCTGTCCCTGGGCACTCTTGCTCGTTACATTTGACACAGCGCGTGAGTGTATCTAGCCGCATCTTCCTTGTATTGGCAGGCGGTCAGCATTTACCTGGGATATGCCTTCAGATCACTGCACAAACCCCGACACAGGTGTGTGAGGGAAAACCAACCACAATCCCATACCTATATCTACATTTTCCATAATTCACCCCGACATCCCTTCCCCGTCTCATCTGCACGCTGGGAGCTGTCAGCTTGGCACTTCCCGTTGAAGCCCGATCGTATCTGCCGAAGCTGTCGAAAGTTGAGGCAGAACCTCTGCTGGAACGTTGATATACTACAATTGCCTTGCGCTCTTTCACACACACCGGTGTCCTTTCCACAAGCAACATTTCCTACTAGCCCTTGTGTGTCGGAGGCGGTTGAAATATCCTTCGTTCTTCATGCACGGAACATGTGCTGCTCGTGCCTGGCACCTCCTCGCGTTCTACCTGGCGTTGCTACAGGGTCTCAATCGGTCGTTGATATCAGGCTGGAACTCACGCAGGGTCTAGCACCCATAGGCAGTTGCGAAGCGGGAACTTACATCTCCTAGGACCAGAGAGAGAGTTCTTAATGCTTTTAGCAGCTGTACCTAGTATATGTTGATACCTGGGTGTGTGTCATTAGATTCTGAAATGAATGTGTCATCAGGACAAGGTAATGCGAAACAACACTGTCCTGACATAAGTTTAAACCTGTGTTGTAACGATTTTCTTGATGCATTTAACCTCATACAATTCATGTCCATTGTTGGACATGTTATTCGGATTATATGTACCCCCCTTCAGTCACCATCCCTTTTACATGTCCTATCGGTGTACCACACTAAATCTTTTTTCTATAACAGAACTGTATGCTTTTGCTAGGGGCTTTTGGGCCATATGAACAACTGTCATGATTCACGCTATTGTGTGGGATTCAAACTGACAGCACAATTGATTGCTTGTTCTGCTTGAGGATTTCTTCTTTTCTAACATTATTCACACGTCGCACCAGCTATAGAACATATTACGACGACGTCTCGAATCCGTGTCCTGCGGAGAAACCCCGGTGGTTCGCCTAGCACCAGACATTCTTACTCTTCAGAGCCGCAAGGGAAGTAATGATTCGAAATCTCGGTATGGAAATGAAAGCAGCTCTGTTTATTCTTGGGCTGTCTTTCTTCTTTTCCTTTTTTCTCTACTCTGTGTTAGTTAATAAAAGTCACACACGAGGAAAAGGTCAGCCCATGAATATTCACATTTTGGCATCTCTGATGTCTGGTTACCTAATCGGTTGATTTCAAGGCATTCTCTAGGGATCGGAGGCTCGAATTACTGGACAGTTGTGATGAACATTGCAACCTTACATATCCGGCACCACGATGTGAGGCGTAAAATTGACTAATTTGAGGGCCAGTGGAATGGGTTGTGTTCTAATCAACCAACCGAGCGTATAACGCTATAAAAAGGCCGTGGGGACAAGACAGTGAACGGATTCTCGGTGATCATGGCCATAAGCGATGATGACAGGGATTTCCCAGCGTGGTGTGAAGATTTGTTGATATTTGCTCGATTCCCTGTTCCGTGTGGTTGTATTCAAGAAAATGGGGGCTTAGACATGCAACTGAATGGGAAAGCGACTTAAGAATCAGCAATATTGACAGTAATCAAATATTTGGGCTAGGGACATAGCTGTTGTCATATTCGTCCAGTTCGGATTCTGGCATGAGGTCTAATAGGATCCCAATAATATGACTCGCAAGTGCTGCATGCCCTGAACCACTTGTATAGGATCTGGGAGGGGAGGTATTAGTTGGTAGTAATGGTTATTCTCACACCTTTAGACCCACTCGAAGTCCGTCACCTTTAGCCTGGTCCCTTTGGCTCCCGTAGAATCGGCCCTCTCACTGCCAGCCAAATCCACCAAACTGATTTTACTGACCTAAAACAGCACACACCAAATCAGTAGAATCCAATTAATAAGATGCAACACATGGGCTTTCAACAACACAAAAAAAGAATCAATAGGCATTCATCTTTATTATAGAGACAGGCCTTATTAACAGCTTAAGAATTATCCTCATGACCTTCAAGGAGTCATTGATTTCCACGTCCCATCAAGACTTTCATCAGTGAGCTTCCTTTTCCCTTAACCCGGAGTCTCACTTTAGCACCCGCTCTTTCCTGACAGCGGGTATACCGGATGGTGTGAAGAAGTTTACGGGGATACTTCAGCTAGGGTATGCCCTCCACTGTCTACTGGCGTGGCAGGTGAGTGCATGGCTCAAGAAGGGACCTATGGAACTCCACGCGCTAGCCGCGAAATGGAACCCATGCCAATGTCTTCGACGCTCTGCTCTGGTAGAACAGAGTATCCTTTCAGGCCGTACGACGGACGTCAAGATCTAGAGAACTTTCGCATCTAAACTTCTTCGGTAGGTGTTATGCCATAAAATCTGTGTCGTGGCGTTTCTTGGTGAATATGATGTTTGAAGACGCGTGCGAGCGCAACTGCTTGTCTCATTCAGCTGGTGGCACCCGGCGCGACGGGAGTCTCTTGACGTCTAGTCACAGGAGGGATATGGCTCAATTCTGAAACATGTATTTGAGGGGATTGTCGTTGTGACGTGATAAATTTGGACAGACTGATAGTATACTTCGAGACCGGGTTGATATAATAGCCTTCGCGCCTCCCCCAGCTAACTGGTTCGGTTTCCTCAGTCTTCAAACTGGAGCAAAACTGGACGAATTTCTTAGTGGCTGTAATCACACTGAACAATGCAAGGGATATCAATTGTGTGTCGATATATGACGATACCCTGGAGGCTCAAATTAACAAGAGCACAGACTATTGTGTGAATTCATGAAGGTAGACAATGAGGTACGTCTTATATATGAGAGCGTATTTTAAAAAAGTATATTTAAGTGGTGAGATAGCAGGGGCTTATGTTTTGCGTTGACTGACTGCCTAAGATGCGGGCACTTGTGGGACTCACCTATCTCTGGATTATCACGCTAAGTCTTGTGTTGCTGAAATATCCCAAGACCAAAAGACCTTAAGTAGACAACTCTCCGAAAATCCTCTCCTTACGGATGCTTCCCACTGCTCTCTTTATTTTTGTTCAGCCGAGGACTGGAGATTCCATCTTGGTGGATACTTTGTGGGGTTGGCACTCTGCTCAAGAGCAGGCCCATACTAGCTTCGACTTGCCTTTACAACTAATATTTATTGTATATAGGGAGAATAGTTTTCTTAACTGGTAATTCGTATGAGCTGACTGAAATTGTTCCAAAACTGTTCCAAGATGTTCTTCATTTTTCGCAACTTATCTGCTTCTTCGTTCACACTGTGTTTATAAGTTAGGCAGTGAGAGTGAGCGAGGACTAGCCTAATGTCCATCCTTCTATGCAAGACAGATTTTTTAAAACCAGACTGGGGTGGCGGGTCCACCACTAAACATCAAAGGAAACTGCATAAAGTGCAAAGAAGAAAAAGCTGATAGACCCAGTAGCTGTGACGCGTGTGTCAATATCGTGTGTAGAAGTTCTTTAGTCCTAAATGAACCCCAAATGCATTTTTTCGAGAAACGTGTGATAGTTTCAGCCCTAGAAGTTCTATCTATGGCTCTCAAACTCACAAAAATCACCTACAAGAGTACTTGATCACTGAAATCGAGCATTTGAAGCCTCTTCTCACAAGCTGAGGTCTAAAATCACATCATAACCAATCTAGATTTATAAAATGGAAAAAAAAACCTGCGAGAACTTGCTAAAGCAATGCATTCATGAATTTTATCAGTGCAGCCAGAACCACCACCCACCATTAACGATGGAATATGAATCATAATAGGAGTGATTACATCTCTATCTCACTGATAGCTCTTTCTCCGCTAAACACTACCTATCCAACGTCCCGTGCCAGGTAGATACTAGGTAGTAACTTGGGAAGAACTGAAAGAAAAGTGAGCTGAGGGAGAGGGAGGTGCGCTCTATAATTTAGCCCCCGGTTGTATTCAAATTCACAATTGAAATATTACTTCACTCACCTCGAGGGAGGTCTTCTAGATAAAATAGAGCTAAAGGAGTAGAACTGATTCCTTGAGAAGCAGTCAGTTTCCCCCAACACAGCCACACATTCCAATGTTAGGTCCCACAGGAAAGAAAACACAAAGGCTGAGTTACATCCACATAGACTGGCATGTCCTCTCTCATCACAGGAATGAACTATATCTAGCACACTAGATTATCAACATAGAGGGTGGTCCAGAAGCAGGACGAGACTCTAAGCCGATAAGCAACAGGAAGATTGCATAGCATGGTATTAGAGTAGAATTAATACCCCCAAGTTCTCAAAAAACCTACTTTTTCATCCCTGCCAGGCTGGCTTAATCCAGCTGACCTTTGTTAAAATGCAATATCACAACAGAAACATGTGTCCAGAAAACCAGCCTCCATAACAACTGTCCATGAGGTAAACTGTTATATAACTTATTGCTTTAATTTCTATTAACTGGAGTCGCTACTGAACTGCATCTTCCAACCCTGTTTGTGGTCTTTGTACCTTTTGGAACATTTTTATGTAAATATCTGTTGAATAATAAGCCCTGCTGTGAGGAACAGCTCGCTTAACAAGTTTGTGCTTCTATTTTGTTGTTAATTGGCAGGTATATGCCGTGTTGCCAACTCCTCAGTAAGGAAAATCGCTATTGGTTGTCCTAAAAGTCGCTAGAAGTCGCTAAATGACGTCATTGCCTAATTTGCATAATTGGTCATGCTAATCTAATTGTAACCTATGTTGTTGGAGAGAGAAATAACATCGTGGAAGAGACATAAAGTGAGTAAAAAACGTCCTAAATGCATTTAGAGTTTATTTAGAACTACAAATTAAATTTCTTTTAGCAATTATTGTTTTTTTTAATGTCACAATTCCAACCCTGCTCCTTTACCCGGGCTTGGACCGGCAAAAGTGACCCGAAATAGGCACTCTGGTGGAGTTACTTTGTGTGTGTGTGTTTATAAGTAGTTTTAAACCTTGTGATCCACAAAACAGCATAAGAGTAAAAGAAGAACTGACTGCGTTACAGCACCCGCTGCTTGTTGAGAGTAAAAGCGATACGCGCTTTCACGTCTTTTTTTAGCGACTTTTTTTTAGAAAAAGTCGCTAAGGGGTCTGAAAACTCGCTAAATATAGCGACAAAGTCGCTAAGTTGGCAACACTGGGTATATGTGTCCTTAGTGTTGCACTCACACAGTTTATGGCAGTTTACGCTACTTGCTAAGCTAATGTGCTAACTTAGCACTCCTCCTGTGGTTCACTGCCTTTTCCTGAGACTCGAGAAATAGTTGACTACATTACCTAGCCTTGTTGCCAGAATCCATCAGGTCCTGGATGTCATTGTAGGAGGTGACAGCCAGCTTGGACAGGTCCTCCACATAAGGTCCCATTAGAGGATGCTCTCGCACACGCAGGTGCCCTTTGTTTTTTGGGTTCACAAGTCCTGCACGTGATGATCCTTCCTACCAGCTCGGTTGACTCCCCAACTGTCGCCGGGGGGCCCCTCCCTCCCACGAGTGGCCAACGTTGTCTGTTATACTTATCTTAATTGTCCGTTCCGCCACGCGTGGCAGAGGCCCACCACCCCCTCCCTATTATTTAATTTATTATGTGCCCTGTTAAATTAATCAAAGTGTCAGTACCAGGGGAATAATTCCTTGCTGATCCTTCACATCCTGTTTCCCCATCATGGTGTAGGACTTGCCTGCACCCGTCTGACCATATGCAAAGATGCAGACGTTGTAGCCTTCAAAGGCATGAAGCAACATTTCCTCTCCGATGTCTTTGTACACTTGCTTCTGAGATGCATAATTGACATCTTCGGGCTGTGGACAGAGATCAATAATTGGTCATTTAAGACTAAAAATGTCTTGTAAGGCTTGAACAAATATATCCAAAACTGATGAAAATATGTGGATGCGTTGTGTTTGGGCTCCGGGGGTGCACGGATGACTTACCGAAGTGTGAGACCAGTAGGAGTAATCAAAGTTGAAGCTCTTGTTGTCTTTGGCCTGCTTGGGGTTGATGATGGCTGAAAGACAGGACAAGGAACATGGGTCAGAGGGAGGGTGAGAACCACCCATGTGAAACTGGATCTGAGCTGGGTTAGTATCATGTTGTGCTAGTAGAGCTGGAAAGGTTTCAGTCACCTCTCCTTTCTGCACCAACAGCTACCTTTGGGATTAAGTTATTGGGCTTGGCCTACATAAATTCATTACAGAAACGCATCACATTGGAACACTTCATCCAGAAGAGGACCAAACAGAAGGCATTGGAGACCATGTCAAAGTATAAAATCCAATATTTGTTAAATCAAAGGCTGAGGTCACACACCGTCAGCCAGTCAATGAGGTAAACCAGTTGAGAAACAGGCAAAAAGGCCAGTTATTTTGTTACCTGTCAGGACTTTTCTAGGACACCTTACGCTCAGCTCATCTTTCAACAGCATACAGCTTGAAACAACCAGCCGCTTTTAGCTGTAATCTGTCAGGCTCCGCTGACCTTTGGTAGCCCTCCAATAAATTCCACCTTTGTCAGTGTTATAACTTTCAGTCTTCCCAGAAGGCCAGTGAAGTGTCTACATGCTTTTATGTCTTCCTGTGTCTGCCAGCTGTTCTGTAAATCACAAATCCTCCATGAGCTATTTAAGCATCCATCTCGGTACTCAAACAGGAAATGCCTTCTCCCCATCAAACAGTGTATTCACACAGCGTATGCATATTGATAGCGTATAACTTCATCCCAGATTAAAGGGACAATTCGCTCTAAATCATTTTTTCCCTCCAGATTGAATTGCTTTTTTTTTCATCCAGACTGTTTTGGTGACTCTGCCTTCCGCCTATTCTTTCACATGTACAGGTTGTGCATCTTCAGTAGCAAATACTCACTATTGGCTGAGGAAGTATTTTTCTCCAACAACAGTAAAAAAACAAACAAACCAAAACAAGAAAGAAAAACAAACAAACAAAAGCCTCAAACCAGTGCTTCAGTCTGATCAATCCCATATCTTCAAGCTAATGTCAGTGGGAGGAAAGTGAAACACTTGCAGTCAAACCAAGACGAGGAGAAAATACTACGACTATTTGCTCTCAGAGAGAATAATTAGATGGAAACTGCTGCTTCCACCTGGTATGAAGGATATATCCAGTCTCTGTGAGGTAACGTCAGAGGCAAGACAGTGAATCAAACCAGGACAGGATCTGTACTCACACTACACATGCTCACAAAGAACTATAACTGATGCTACCGGCCCCCAGCATGCGTATGTATTTGTTGATTTGATGTGTGAGTGGCCACATAACTGAGCAGTTGCAGAAACCATGTTTCAGCTTTTATTTCAGGACGTGTCGCCTCATTTCATGGGTTGCATTTTCATTTTGGGTAAAGTCAGGAAATCTGGGATTCATTCAGTCGGGATTAGGAGAGTACTGATTATCAGTTTGCATATATAAATATATTCTTACAGCAGTCGATCTATGCAGCACTTAAATCAAAATTTTAAAATAACTGCATGCTTTTCCTGATTTTAAACCCTAACTCTGAACATAACCTGGTCTTAATCAGTTTACGTGTTTGCACTAAGATGCTAGTGATTTAACCCAGTAAAATAGATCCCCCATGTGTAAGTGTGACTCTGTATCTCAGGTCAGGTCATGCACCAACTGGAAGGTTGGTGGTTTGTTCCCGGGCCATCTCAGTCTGTATGCTTAGACATGACACTGAAAACCAATTTGTTCTCCAATAAATGATTGAACTGAATTTTAGAGCTGGTGTGAATGAGGCATGTTGTGCTCCAGTCGAGGGGAAAAGCACTATATAAGAACCAGTCTGTTAATGATGCTGGTATCACTGGAACATGTTTACATCCTCTGGGCTCAAGTAGTGCAAGCCAGCAAGACCAAATTTGTGCTGAGTTTTTCTTAAGATTCTGAAAGCTTCACAGTTTATCATTTATTATTAATAATCCTATTTCTGCATAGAGGTAGGCCCAGAATTAGACAAGAGTTTTTGTAATGTTGCCTCTGTTTACTTCAGTGAATCAAGTGGATTTTAATCAAACAGTCAAGTTATAGATTTTCAGCTATAATTCAAAGGTCTTACCCAAAGTATCGCATCGTGTTTAGAAATGACAGACATGTTCACATGTAGCAGCTCATTCTTCTGTCAACGACACAAACACGAAACACTTGATTTTATAGATGTTTTTCTAATGAACGCATTAAAGCCATACATCCAAAATAATAAATAATCAAGTATCTAACTCTCAGGCTGTTACTTTCATCCTCTGGCTTCGATCAAGTTAAACTAGCTGTAGAAGCAGTGGCTCATCTGGTGTGTTTGTGGCAGAAGGGAAACTGCATGCCTCTATCATACAGGATCTTCAAAAGAAAATGCTAGCAAGCAAACTTGACGACTTAAACTTTAAAGCACCTTGAGGCAACTGTTGTTGTGATTTGGAGCCATATAAATAAAACTGAACTGAATTGAATCTACTTTTAGATATATATTAAACACAGGATGGGATGTTCTGCATTGACACCCTTCCTTTCAATACTCAACATCTGGCTTGTTAGCCTTAATGTTCACTCTGCAGAGGTGAGGAGTGCAGCTTTAACTGTTCAGATATCTGTCTGTGACTGTTGTTGGCAACACATTTACATAAAGAATGTCATTTTATAGAGACACACAGATGAGGACAAAAATATTTTCAATTTGTCTTTTTTGACAGAGCATTGGATTTTCAAAATAGCATTTTTAAATTCTTTAGAAAGCACATATTACTTCTATTTGCACATAAAAGCAGAATCAAAGTTCAATGTAGTTATCCCCCTAACAAACTGACTTTATTGGGCTCCTGCACAAAGCCCCGCTCTGCAAAGATGTGCTTTAACTTCTTATAAAACTGAGAGTCATCTTCTGACTTATACACAGACTTTAGCGAGGGCTCGAGTCGTCAAACATCACACCAAAATGAAAAGAAAGACTTGAGGAGAAGAATGGTTGATGGTCACAAAGCAGGAGATGGCTATACAAAGTAATGACTGGGTTTCAAAACTGGCATAAGAAGTATGATCGAGAAACTCAAGGAGAACCACACAGCGCACAAATAAAACACGGTAGACGAGGAGGTTCAAAGACCATTTCAAAGACTCTGGAAAGGAAACTAGCAAAAGATGTTCTCAAGACCGCGGAACAACTGCCAAGACTCTAGACTTAGCCAAGCTTGGAATCAGTAAAGGACTGCAGACCAAGAAAAAGCCAGACTGAAGTAATCGAAGGAGAACCCTGAGAAAAATGGTGCATGCTGCAAATATGCTCTTTGACCAGATTAGATGAAACTGGAGCGCTCTGGTCACAAAGACCACACACTCCAAGGGACACCATCCCTGCAGTAGAACATCATGCTGCGGGGCTGCTTCAGTGTGTCTGGAACTGGGAATCATGAAGAAGGATATGTGAAGATGATAAAGCACAACTCAAGCAGTCAGCAGCAAAACTGGACCTGGGTCATCGTTTCGTCTTCCAACACGACAGCCCAAACCATACAGTGCTCGTTGTGAAGACCAAAACAAATACTAACGAGCTGGGGACAATCGTTCCTGCCCTTATCTGTAAATACAACTGAACTGACTGCCATGCATTGTTTGTGGATTCAGTCTTGTAAATTGATATTACTAAAAGGATCGTGAGTAAATCACCCAGCACAGTGTGAAAAGCACAGACGCTGGCAGTTTTATAAAACGACATTCTTTATTTACAAATTTATATTTTGCAGTAAATGCAAATTTCCTGTAAAAGACTGTTGTACTAAAACATGGTTCTGTAGCCTCTAACTGTAAAACAAGTGGGACACAGTGAGCATAAAATACATGCACATATCTGTACACTGTCACCAAAATACATCTGATTACAAAATATAGTGCTCGATACAAATATCTGGAGTTTGGATTCAGCAGATGTCTCAGATTTCACATATGCACGTGTGAAACAATCTTCCTTTGCATTTCTGTATGAAAATAAGCTGTTTAAGCAAAAATAGACTCTGCCTTCCGCCTATTCTTTCACATGTACAGGTTGTGCATCTTCAGTAGCAAATACTCACTATTGGCTGAGGAAGTATTTTTCTCCAACAACAGTAAAAAA